CATATGAAGAGATGTTCGACATCTCTGCCCATGAAAAAAATGCAAATCAAAACATCATTGAGATTCTACCCTAGCCAGAATGGCCATCATCAAGAAAACTAACAATAGGGTCTGGAAGGTGGCTCAGTGGTAGAGCGCTTGCCTTGCATGCCTGAGGCCCTGGGTTTGATTCCTCAGCACCACATAAGCAAAAAGAAAAAAAGCCTGAAGAGGTGCTGTGGCTCAAGTGGTAGAGTGCTCGCCTTGAGCTGAAGAGCTGAGGGACAGCACCCAGGCCCAGGGTTCAGGCCCCATGACCGACCAAAAAAGCAAGCAAGCAGGCAAGCAAGAAAGAAAAGGAAGTAGGTAAAAACATGTGAGCAAATCTTGGTAGCCTGCTGTGAAAAGAAAGGACTTGTGTTTCAAATATCTGACCTATAGTCAGATAACATCTGTAATTAGATGCTGGCCAGATAGTCAGATTACATCATGACTTTATTTAAATGTGGTGGTGGGGGGCAGTATGAGGAAGAAACTGTTACAATAACTGGCACTGTTCAGATCACCACCACCACAGACATTGAGAGTTTCTAGAGTCTTAAGTGCCAAGAGGACCTTGAAAGACTAAGTACCAGCATTTCCCTTGCCGTTACGGCACTGTGCTTACAGCAGAGCATGACCCATGCGTGGAAAGGCTCAATGAAACACTATTAAATAGAGGAATGAATAGATGCTATGTGCCAGACATCTTTTTGGAGTTGAAGGACATGGAGTCAGGTTCCTTTATCCTCGATCTGCTGCATTTGGAGTTTCTAGAGCAGTAGTTTTTCAATTAAAGGTGGACAATTTTGTCCCAAGGATATGTGGCAAATCTGGGCACAAGGGATTGACTGCTGCTGACATCTAGTGGTTGGAGGCCAGAGAAAGCTGCTAAGTATCCTCTGATACCCAAGATGAATCCCACAACAAGGAACCAAGTGATAAGCCCATGGTGGTTAACAGAGCTGTGGTCAAGTAACTGTGTCCTCCAATGGTCACAAGTAGAGTACGCCAAGGCCCCAATTAGGAAGGCTTCTTGAGCTGCTGGTCCTCATTCGCATCAGTGCTTTCCTCCCTTTGCATGCTCATTCATGTGGCCATTCAAAAGGCCGTGTGCTGGCCACCAGGCCAGCTGCTGCCCTTCAGCTGCTGACATTCGAGCTGAGACTTGGCAAATGCCAAGGAGATGAGAAGAGGTTGATAGCTGCAAATCTGGAAGGTAGGAGGTGTGAGAGAGGAGCATTTTGTAGTGTTGAGGCATGCTGGAATGAGGAACATGCCGAGAAGCTTCTGTGTTCTGTAAAATTAGCAAGTGATGCAGTATAGTCAGAAAGTACAATCATCCCATCAAACATAATGTGAGCCCCACAGTGAGACCAGTGGGAGCTTCTCTCTCTATTCTGCAGATTGGGGGGGGGGGTCAGCAATGGGCTGGGGCAGAGCTCGGGGTACTTGGCAAAATTAACCTGGCATTACCATATAAGCGATGAAATTGAGAAAGGAGAAAATAGAGTTGTTGAGTCCTGTTAGAAAAGAAATATTAAGATGTTTCCCACCAAATGCTGGTGCTATGCCTGCAATTCCAGCTACTCAAGAAAGAGGCTGAGATCTGAGGATTGAAGTTCAAAGCCAGCTGGGGTGGGAAATTCCCTTGAGACTCATCTCCAAGTGATCCACAGAAAAAGCTGGAAGTGGCACTGTGGCTCAAGTGGTAGAACTTTAGCCTTGAGCAAAAGGAGCTCAGGGACAGCACTCAGGCCCTGGATTCAAGCGCCAGGACCAGCGCCCAACACCACCCCCACCAAAAAAAAAAAAAGACAGTTTCCTATCAAAGTTCTTACCGGTATTTCTAGGTAGGATGCCAATGACTTAGTAAGTAAAGAAGCTTTGGAGTATTATTAAATAAAAAAAAAATAGTTTGTCCTGAGTAAAGCATCTTTAAAGATGGTCTTTCAGGTAGTTAACACAGATGTGTTAGTGACAGCCCCTAACTTGTAGTAGAAGCAACCAGTACCCCGTGTGTATTGGAGATAGGTCCGGGCAGGTGATGCATCTAAACACCTCGATGGTCAATGGGGACCAGGCAGGTGGAGCTCAGCACCCTTTCTCTCCCATGCGGTGAGAGCGACATCTGGTGGCGGCTGTGCTCAGCCCCACGCTGGTAACTGAAAACACAGGAGAGTGATTCAGTGGTTCCAGGTGGAAGGGATTACACAAATGGCTCAAAGAGCTCAGAGAGCGAGTGCCTTGGCCAAAAAAAGTCACACAGAACAATTGTGAAAAGAACAGGTGATGAGACTCCCAGCTGAGCACAGTGAAATCTTCACGTGCACCTGCTGCATCGTTCCGTATCACCCTCACTTTTGTGTTCATCCTTTCTCCTGGGTTTTAAAATAAGTTTCTCGTATATGTATATCCTCCAGCCATAGGGCGTTTGTTTGATTTGTTTAGACGCTTGTAAAAACCGGCCGTTTTCCATGGGATTGTCTAAATGGATTTCCTTTCTCTGAAAGTGCTGATGACAATTCACCAGCCACCTGCTCCCTCTCTCTTAACTCCACCTGCAGCAGAAGGTCCCAGTTGAGGATTTCTAGAGGGAAGAGAGTCTCATCACGGAACATTGACTTTGGGTTATGACCTAAATAAATAAGCACTAGATTTAACCTATGTTTAGTAGATAACTCATAAATCTACCTTTGATTTAATTTTTTTTTGAATTTTTATTGGTACTGGATTTGAATTCAAGGCCTCTCTACCACTTGATCCACGTTCCCAGCCCTTTTGATTGGGGGGTGGAGGGAGGTGCTGTTCTTAAGCCTTAGAATTTTTGTCCAGGGTCATCCTGAGACCATATACTTCTTTCTTTGCCTCCCATGGAGTTGGATGATAGGCATACGCCACCATATCCATCTTATATGTGGAGACGGGGACTGGTTTAACTTCTTTGCCTAGGCTGGACTTGGACTATGATCCGCTCAGTCTCTCCCTTCCAAGTATGTGGAATTACTGGCCTGAGCTACCAGTCCAGGGTCCCTGTTTCTGTGCTATACTGAGGGACCTCACACCACTGAGCTCTGAACAGGAGACATCTCGGCTAGTGAGTGAATGATCTGACAGGAAATACCAAAAAAGGAGGCCAACAAGTGTCTCACGGATTTCTTCTCTGGATTTCAGAGTTGGAAATAACTTCTGGTGGATCCCGGTCGTGGGTCCTCTGCTGGGTGGCATCCTTGGAGGTTTCATCTATGTCCTGTTCATCGAAATCCACCATCCCAATGCCCACCCAGACTTCGAGGAAGAACAATCTGAGAACAACAAGCCAGAGAAATATGAACTGAGTGTCATCATGTAGTACAGGGCTTGCTGCGGGATTTACACTCTGGTACTCAGCAGGAAAGATGGTGTCTATGTGTCTTGTGTTTCTGTGAGATGGGGAATGTACCCTATTATATCCTGCAAAGAAGACACCTGTGTGAAGGTTTAGAAACACTGACTTCCTCTCTACCAGCGACTTCCCTTCCTTGGAATAGCACTGACTGTACCTTCCACAGCTTTCTCTCCTGCCTTGTTAGACAATCCCTGGTGAGACTTCTTATTTATAGGTGATTGCTAATACAATACTCTGATCATGGCCTTACTTTGTCTTCGCTGTACTAACTATATGAAATAATGTCACCAAAAAAACCCTTTACCTTCAATGTCTTCAAATGTTACATTCTGAATATAAATCCAAACTGAGAACAAAAGACAAACCATTATTTCAGTTAACATCCACGAATTAGGGAGCTAAAGGATTAACTCTCTAGCTAAGCTGTGCTATTATCTTTGCATAAATACTGATATTCTCCACACCAAGGAGATCTAGAAGTGATGGAAGGCCACCGAATGCCGGGGGAAAGGACACTGTAGCACTGAGAAACCTCAGAACACAAGATAAATTTGGGAAGCCAAATAGAAAAATTTTTTTAATGGAAACTACTTATCAGATTAATCTCTTGCACTCTTCTGCATGTTAGGGGAGGAGTATCAATTTCCTGGCCTTTAGTATATAATAATAACCTAAAAAAAGAATCGTAACCTATCTTAGGAAAAGTACATCACTCTGACTTTTAGCTCACTTGTGTTTTCCTAACTGCACACTCGAGGATGGGCATTTGACAAGTAAAATGAATGACTACTCTCATCCATTATTTTCCTGGTGCTCCAGAAACCAAAACTGAAAGCCAACGGATGCTGCTCCACCAGACTATTCAAGGTGCAAAAAGCCTGTGCAAAGCTAAACATCACCTCATTGTGTTTCTACAGCACACAAAACACTTTCATACGCATTATCTAACTGCATGCTAATTAGACTATTTGAGGTGAATACTGAGATGATTGTTGTTCAGATAAACAATAGCTAAGACAAGTTCCTTGAGTTGTCCGAGTTCGTGGGCAGTAGACTAATGTCTAATGCCAGCTCTCCACCTTTAAGAAGGTCAATAACTGGCTGAGTGTGGTGGTTCACACCTGTAATCCCAGCACTTGGGATGCTGAGACAGGAAGATAAGAGCTCAAAGGAAGCCTGGGCTACATAGAGAGACTTGTTACACACACATACACACACACACACACACACACACACACACACACACACATGGGGAAAAGGAGGAAGAGGAGGACTTGAAGGAGAAGGATCAATAACTGATTGAAAATATTTGCTAACACTTTCTCCTTCCTGGCTGACCTAAAGAAGAAAGCTTCTAGAATATTCATGCTTTATGGACCTAATGATATAGTTTTTATTCCCACAGAAGAAAAGAAATAGTAGTTTCATCACAGCTTTCCTCTGCTAAAAGCCTTACTAAGTCTCGATCCTCCTTTCCTGACAACCTCAAGCATTACATCAGGGACCTTCTTCCTCAGCCTCCTCCCTGTGAAGTTCTCTGAGGTCACTTTCGGCCACAGAGACTCTGAGTTACCAGCTCACATCAAACTCTATGCTTCTGTTCTAGTGCTGAAATCCCAGCATTCCCAGAATGACCCAGGTGCCCAACTGCTTTGTGGTAACAGACTAACAAAAACCAAAGGCCAAATGTCTCCCACACTTCCGTTTTAGAACTCATGGATGTATGGAAGTTTTTTCTTGTTCTGATGCTACCCGGATATTCTCTATTTGAAATAAAAATTGGAAATTGTTGTTGGAATTTTTTTTCCTGGTGTATGGAGTTTTTTGCTTGTGTGTATATGCATGTATATACATGTAAATATATATTTGTTAGTCTTTTGTTGTTTGACTTAAAAGATAGGTGTAGGAGCTGGGTATACCTACAATCTGAGCACCTGCAAGGCTGAGGTAGGAGTATCATAAGTTTAAGGTTACCCTAGGCTCCATAGCAGCATTATGCCTCCAACCTCTCCCCCCACCCCCCAAAAAAACATACAAAAAAAGAAACTAAAATGGTAATTATAGAGCACTATTGATGAGGTCATAATATATAAATATGTAAATAAATGCAGTAAGTAAAATGTGGTGAGTGCTCTCTCCCTAGCAGGGTAGCAACTGGCCACGGTCAGACAGATGGACACATGACACTATAAACAGATCACAGAAACCATTTTGAGGTATATGTATATGTACATATACATATATATATTTGGAACAAGACCAAAAGCAATGCTTATTTATGCATATTAAAGTACACAAATGCAATACATTGGGGTGGGGGTATTACCAGTCCTGGGCCTTAACAAACTCAACCTGGGAGCTGTCCCTGAGCTTTTGTGCTCAAAGCTAGCACTCTACCATCCGAACCACCAGCTCCACTTCTGGCTTTTTTGGTAGTTCATTGCAGATAAGAATATTACTGACTTTTCTGCCTAGGCTGGCTTTGAACCTCGATCCTCAGATTTCAGCCTCCTGAGTAGCTAGAATTATAGATGCGAGCCACTGGCACCTGGCTTATATGGCTTTTGATTGACATCTAAGAGACCGTGCCTCTGTGCACCTCCAGAAGCTGTCCTGAGTACCATTCCCTGGGGCCACTGAAGTGACTGCTCTGGGGAACTCATTGCCATTTTTATTCTTAGGTCTATTCTAGGCCTCAGCTGACATTCTGCATGCTCACAGAGCCAGTGAGCAGCTCAGTGTCACTCAATTATGGCAAGCTCGGAGCTAGACACCCCTGAGGTTTCTCACTGGCTTTGCAATAAGCTCATCTCTCCACAGCTCTGAAGAAGGGCTCACCGGGATTTAATTCTGAACTAATGGGGGGGGGGGGACGGAGAGGACAAAGGTCCAGGAATCTTAGCGGCTTCCTTGGAGACCATCTTAGCACACACCTCTCTTGGCTGTCTGCTGGGTGGAGCTAGGAGCCTCCACTGCACTTATTACCAGACTAGGCTCAGAGCTTGGGTCTGGCCCTGCCTCCCACAGCAGAGGAACCTGAGCACGCCTGCGTTTCCAACTGTGTCCACCTGGGGCGAATCTAAGACCAGGGTCCGGGTCCTTTCTGCTGTGCTGCTCTCTTTTCCCTTGCTGATACCCTGGGTCTCACCACTAGGCTTCTCTCCTGCTTCTCCAAGTCATACTCCTCACTCCAGATCCTACCCATCTTGGCAGAGCACATCTGGTATGCCCCACTCCTGGGGATGGCACATCTGTAATGGGCGACTGAATGCAACAAATACAAGTTGTAGCTGCAGTAGGCTCGTCTGATACCAATGTAGCTCCAAATGGGCTGGACCAGGCGCAACATTTGAGGATCATAAAGTGTGTGAGTTGGGCCTGGGGAGGAGCGATAGGGGTGGGGATACAATGTAATGTTTGTGTGTGAATGCTAGTCTCAAAGCTCGTGCTTTACCAATGGAGTCACACAACTCCACTTCCAGTGCTTTGGAGATGAGGGTCTTACGGACTTTTCTGCCTAGGCTGGCTTCAAACCTCAATCCTCACATCTCAGCCTCCTGAATAGCTAGGATTACAGGCGTAAGACACCTACATCTGGCCACATTTTAATGTTTTGGACAAGAAGAACCAAAAGAAAATGGCTGGACATAGTCCAGGGCAGATGGTTAGTGTGAACAGATGGGAGACAGAAAGCAACTGCTTTTATTTTTGCTTCTTTCTTCAACACAGAGCCCTAAGAATAGGGATAGGCATGTCTTAGTCCATTTTCCAGAAAAGCAAAAAGAAGGAGGTCAGTTTTAAAGACTGTACATAAATGACTTCTCATTATAACAGTACAATGACATCAATTATAGAGCCTGGCATATATTGACTATTATTTGCCATGCATGGTGCTAATTTGTTTTCCATACACTGTCTTGTGATCGCCACATCAAACCCATGTTTGAGGTTATTCTCTGAAGAAGGAGCTAGCTCCTTAGAGTTCAGAATAGTTACTAGGGGCTGGGAAGGTGGCTCAGTGGCAGAGTGCTTGCCTTGCATGCCTGAGGCCCTGGGTTCGATTCCTCAGCACCACATAAGTCAGAAGTGGCGCTGTGGCTCAAGTGGTAGAGTACTAGCCTTGAGCTGAAGAGCTGAGGGACAGCGCCCAGGCCCAGAGTTCAGGCCCCACGACTGGACCCAAAAAAGACAAAAAACAAAAAAAAGAGTAGTTCCTATAGCCAACATAACCTTAAGTTTAAAACCCACATTCCTACCAGGTGTCAGTGGCTCATACTTGTAATCCTAGCTATTCACGAGGCTAAGATCAGAGAATCATGGTTCAAAGCCAGCCAGGGCAGGAAAATCTGTGCGACTCTTAACTCCAATAAACCATCAAAAGAGCTGACGTGGAGCTGTGGCTCAAGTGGTAGGATGCTTTAGTGCTAGCCTTGAGCACAAAAGCTCAGGGACAGCACCCAGGCACTCTGAATTCTAGGCCCAGGAACAGCACAAAAGCAACAACAACAATAACAACAAAAAGCCTCTGATGCGGGGCTGGGAAGGTGGCTCAGTGGTAGAGTGCTTGTCTTGCATACCAGAGGCCCTGGGTTCGATTCCTCAGCACCACATAAGCAAAAAGAAAAAAGCCGGAAGTGGCACCATGGCTCAAGTGGTAGAGCGCTCGCCTTGAGCTGAAGAGCTGAGGGACAGCGCCCAGGCCCAGAGTTCAGGCCGCATGACCGGACCAAAAAAAAAAATTAAAAAACCTCTGATGCTTACAATAAGCACAGCTGAGATATTATGCTGTCTTAGTTTGATTATGATTGTTTCCATAATGTCAAGAAGTAGGTTTTTTCCCCAATCTTCTCAAGAATATTAAGGAGTTTGAGTAATGGTGAGTTGGGATGTCTGTGATGAACGACACAGTATTAATGACACAAGGACACAGTGAAGCCCAGGGATTTGAGGTGGGCAACACTATT